TTCAATGTAATTGCGAATTGCGCACTCTGATGTTTATGGAAAAGCGGGGTGTTACAATATGAAAATGTGATCTTCATGAAACTTGTAGTACATGTTATAAGATTTCATTAGGAGTTGAAATCTTGCAATTTGAAGTTTTGGTTGATTTTATATGATTTTTCTAAGTTAGATTTATGCCCAGAATTTTGAAGCAGTGGCTGTGTTCAAGCATGGAATGTATGCTCTGAAATGATGCCTTTAACGTGATTATACGTAAAAATGCTCTTCATGAAATTTATATCTTTCCTTGTGTAGTTTCAGCAAGTTTTGAGTTAGGATGATTTGGAGTCCTATAACTTAAGTTATTGTTGTTTTAATGAAGTGCTGTAAGTTGATAAATGGTTATTCCGGCAGATTTCTTGACCTAAGTGTTTTATGCTTAAACTCGGTTTTTACTATGTTATAACCGACGTGGCTATACTTGGGATTTTCGAGCTTGCGTAGTTTTGCGTTAATAACCCTCGGTAATTTGGTTTACCGGGAACCATGTCAACAGATATTTAACCAATAGTTTCATTCTAACTCCATCTATAAGCATGTGTTAACTTATTTAATCTTTTACATACTGTCACTACATAATTTATCTGACCGAGATGATTATTTTGTATATTATTATTATACACAAGGTTCTACCTTTGATTCGTACTTTACTTTCTTCAGGAAGAGTTTATTTGATTGTACTACATCTTACCAATAACTTAAAGTAATTACATTGTTTATTATTTAATTATCTTTCATCTCGGGTACTCGAGTCCATCCAGAGCTTTCACATATGACTCAATAGTCATGGTAATGTTGTTTCCATAAATATTAACTTGCGGAATAATGAGAATGAGAGAATTTATCTATATAAATACTTGGGTCTTTACACAAACCCATGAGCATAATCTTTCTATATTTGCATTACACCATCATATCACATGCTTCATATAAATATTCATTATCCTATAGGATATGTTATCTTCCTAGGATATATCGTGTAGCGAGTGAAAGTTATGCCTCTACTTTCCTTTCTATAACAATCTACCTAAGAACTTCTAGCACTTTCACTTTGTTGTTCCGAATCATTATTTGAGATAGTAAAGAAATCACATAGGCAAGTATGTTGTCGAGAACTATGATATTCAATTTATATTTTTCTCTCAACCACTATGCAACTTCATATTTACTAGTCATATTTATAATCATCTCCCATAACATCTAATTTTGGCCATTCACAGTACTATAAGTGTTTGATGCACGTGCACGATGCACTTGATCAACTCTTTGTGAGTTTCTTATAAAAAAGTGTTAATTCTTCAATATATATTTTCTGCTGACATTAATACATCATATATTAATTATATCACCTTATGCTTCTAACATTTCCTAAGAAATTTGCTTACTTTGTGGTACATCTGTATATAACTATATATACAAATTGGTCACTCCATTATTACTATAGATTTTGTTTGGCACAAATATAATATGAACTTCAAGTTTAATTTTTATTGTGTGGTTTCAAATAATGAAAATATTAATATTTCACATACTTCATGACATTAATAAACTTAGCTTATACTTCCCTTAATGCCGTGAAATCATCTTTATATATTATGCAAAATACGTACCAAACAATAAACTGATCCTCTATAATGGCCTATAGGTATTAGAAATTCGACGGAGTGGAAAAATCAGAGCATACCTAGTTTTCAATATAGACACATAAAGGTACGTGTTGGTGGTGATTTTTTTTTTTTCAAACGACATAAATTCTCATTAACATCAACTAAATGGAAATTTACATAGGGCAACACCCCAATACTGGGTGCATGGAGGTTACATTCAACCAATGCAACCTAGTTGGTGGTGATATGAACTATTGCATAATAAAATAACAATACATCGCAAATGGGAAATGTTCGATTCTCAATGCACTATTTGGAGAAATTATCATAAATAATTGTCAAATATGATCCAATAGTTCATACTAATTATCAAATATAAGTTGGACATCGAATTTTAATTAATCATTTTTTAGTGAACACTATTTGCTTCAGGCGCTACAATTGATCTTTTTTTTT